TTTCACTGGCCTTGGCCCCTTACTGCTGACTATTATCCTAGATTCCTCCCAGCATACCCAAGGTCTGATCAGATCTCAAGACTCAATAAGAGTGAAACACAGAATCACTGTGGGGATTTTGAGCAATAGAGTGACATATGCCAGGGGAAACCACTTCAGTGTGTGGAGAGAAGGTGAGAAGGCATTCCACTCTGCTTGTAAATGTTTACAAAGTAACTTATGAAAGCACCCTGACTTAAACACACTCAAAAAGCCCTTTAAAAATGTTGCTTTTCATGTTAGGAATTCTTGGTAGCAACTCAGATTTTTTTTGTGAAAAGACTTTTTCAGGATGTCTGTTCTGCTTTTTAAAGAAGGAATCTGATTACTGAAACACTTGAAAGAACCTGGGAAATTATGATTCTTCAGATAATTTCTGCGAAATAGGGACCATGATTGGTCACAGGGAAAGGGTTGTATTTATTGCCAAATCAATAATTAATAGTGACACACAGTAGTTACTGAACTAGTATTTGTTGAATGAATAAATAAATGAAAGAATATGTGCACATCTGTGTGTCTGTATGTAGAAAAAGGTGATGGGTGGGTGAGGATACACTGATGTTATCTGTTGCGCAACAAATAGTTCTATGACCACGGTTTTTGAAGCATATATTTTGACACCTTACATAAACTTTATTAACATATAAATGCACATTAATAACAAAAAGCATTAGGGATTCTCTCTGCAAGTAGAACTGTCCAAACAAGAAATAAGAGACTTCAGAGGAGCAGTTGCTAACCTCAGGCCACTGAATCTTGTTCATCTTTAGGTCCACTTTAAGGGACACAAAGACAGCAAGAAGCCTTTGGAAATGGTTAAGGTGATAATATATGCTATGTTCTCATACTGGAAACATGGCTATCTCATATGTTCCATCTGGGCCTGAGTGTTTATTTAGTGGTACCTGCTTACACTTAGAGTTTTTACCTGCCAGAGAATCACCTCAAGGATAAGGTAGAAAATTATAGTATAGATACAAATATGATGTGTGTATGTGTGTGTGTGTGTGTGTGTGTGTGTGTGTGTGTAATTAAAACAGCAGTCCAATTAAGGTATGTGTATAAAAAGCCAACCATAAATTGCTATTCTGTGAAGAAATGTCACTTTACAAGTCTAACATTATGTCTCAGGCTTCAGCACTAAGGAGTTTGACAGACTGGAAAAGGCAGAAAATCCCATAAATAATATCCTATTTGATTTCTAGCAGCAGGTACGGGTCTTATGTTAATTATTGTGACAATAAGAGGGTAAAGACATTATCTAAAGTAAGAGATTCTAAATTTCATTCTGGTCTATTATGTAATGATCTGAAAGAAATTGAGAAATTAGCTCTTTAATTCTGATTTTTATTTCTAATTCTGTTTCTTCACACAATTTGAGGCTGGCCACAAAGATTGCATTTTTTTTAATTTTATATTCCAAAAGTACATCAAATGACTTTGTACATGTAAAACATTCTTATTACAGATGAGTGAACAGGTATTTAAAATGAAATGTATTCTAAGACTGAAACTCAAATACACAAAAAATGTATATAAATTTGGGCATCAATCCAAATAATGTAAGACAGTGCCATTGTGTGTACTTTTAAATTATCAACTGAGCTTGAGACATGTGAAAATAAGCCAAGGAAAGCATCATCATATCCCAGATGCATGTCTTCCCGTCTTCTCATTCATTTTTCCTGGTGTAAACACAAGTACCTACCCATGCACAGAAATGGCAAATCTGAAGAGTAAATATATATTAAAAATCACAGAGCAAAAGCAAAGAGCTCTAGAGTAGGAATCAAGAACGCTACCTTGTCATTCAACCTTTGTCCTGTATAAGCTGTATAACATTAAAGAAGTCACCAAATTGCCCTAAGTCTCATTTCCTATGCCATTAATTTAATTAATGATGATGATGATGATGATAATAATAATAAAATAACACTGATCTCATTTGAACTCTGTGGTGGAGATAGTTGCTACATATTTACCATACATTTTCCTTTTCCTAGAAACTGGAAGATTCCATTCTTCTCAGCCTTCCTTATAGTTAAATTAGGGATCATCTGCTTGAATTCTGACCAATGAAATATAAACAGAAGTGCTATAAGCCATTCCCAAACTGATCTGTAAATATATCTCATAAGATCCTCCAACTCTCTCCTCCAGACCTGTGACATTATCAGTAGCCACACATTACACAGTGGAGCTACAAGATAAGAAAGACACCTGAATCTGTATCTCCTATGCATCTCCTATGTATAGGAGAGCATGAGTAGGCGAGCCAACAATCCTACTCAGCCTATAATGTGAGTAAGAAATAAAACTCATTTTATTAAGCCTTTATGATTTTTAGGTTTATTGGCTATCATATATAATATGGCCTATCCTTACTAAAAAGATGACTAAGTGAGAAAATAAAATTTACTTGTATATATCAATGTATTCTATAGCTATACAGGGTAGTATTGGTAGCAATGATGGAAAACTTGTAAAAAAGTTAATAAAAATTCTAAAGTTTTTTTGACATTATACCATTTACCATACATAAAGGCTTCCTGAAAGGTAGAATCCAGTCACCACTGACCAGCCACACACTTATGTAATAAATTAGTATGTGTTTCTACCTTTAGCATACCTAAGAAACAGAGACAAAGATGACCCATTTTACCAAGCATTTCAACTGAAATGGTAGGTAGTGGTGACCTCATCACATGCATTCATTATAATGAACTACAGTGACACTAAGTTCCTAGAAAGAGTGACCTCTGTCCAAAGATAAAAATTCACACCAATGTGAAGTGATTCACTTTCAAATCGGAACTGAAAAGATGTGACCATTATTTTTAATCTCCTTTAGGAAACTTCCTTTCTTAGTTCTCAGAAAAAAAACAACCAAATGCTAGGATTTTAAAGATAGTACAATTTTATATACACTGATTTTGTCTAAATTTCAAGTACTATTTACATACAATTTGGGGGAAGCTTTCCTGAAGACCTGAAGAAATGGTAACATTTTTATACCATTTCTATTATCAATAATACCATTATTATTTATGTAGCATCGAATTTTCTTGATCAAATTGTTTAGTCTATCAAAGAGTTATTCCCTTTCAAGGCTTTTGAAGAGATATTAATTCAAGTCAATAAAAGGAATCTTTTATTAAATCCAAGAAAATTATATCAATTATATTGTTCCTTATTGGATGATTATTGAGTATTAGTTTACAAATATCACTGACAGGATTTAAAATATTTGTCATAGAATCAGAAGACCAAAATTCAGTTCAAAGAAGGCTAAAAATATTCCTTAGATTTAATTTTTAAATGCAGCTTTCCAAACATCAGACATGTACTTTAGAGTAATCTTGACATCTCTAGAAGCGTATAAATAAATTTAAACCGATCAATGACCTACTTTAATGAAAGAAATTACAGCCATCTTAAAAACTTGTAATTTATCTTTATGATGATTCCAAGTCACTAATTTTGGAATTCAGAAATTAGGAATTATGGCAAAAACTGCATTTAGCAAAATCAACCATCTAAGAGAAAGACAGTGAAACACACACTTCAGGTAAATAGAAAACTGAGTTTATATATTCCTGAATTTCTTGACATTGCTAAAAATTCATAAAGTAACTTCTCACACAGGTTAGAAAAGCCATAATGAAATACAAGCCAAATCACTAGAGTGACTTGGCAAACGAAGTGTGTTTACATATATTGAAACAAAGTACTTTGACAAGGTTTCCTAAACAGTAGCCTGACTTCCCGTTATGGCAAGGACTACTTAGTTCCACTCTCCCATCCTTTCTTCGGGAACAGAATACTTATTTCAGAAATTCCATTTTTAGGTATTTACCTGAAGAAAATGAGAACACTAATTCCAAAAAACAAGCACCCTATGTTCATTGCAGCATTATTTACAATAGCGAAAACATGAAAACAACCTAAATATCCAGAAATAGATGAATGGATAAAAATATGAGACATACGTATGTATGTATGTATGTATGTATGTATGTGTGTGTCTAATTCAAACTGTTTTTCTATTATTTCTATTTCCAGGCATCTGTTTTTTAATCTACTGATTCCTACATAGGAACAATTATTAAGATTTTAGTTTCCAAATAAACTTTACCCAGAAACCTTCTGATGATGGCCAGGAAATTTTTGAAAGCCTAAAGCTCTGTGCAATCCCATTTATTCCAACCATGTACATGAAAAGAGAGTGAGTGGAAGAAGGAGAATGAAGGAGAGAGAAAACAAACCTATTTATGTCCATATGGGTCTTAAATGAAAAGGACTCTATTCTATTGCATACTTTCTGCCGTACTGTATTCTATAGAGAGGCTAAGGAAGTTTTTTATCTCTCAACCCAGAAATAAAATTAATAAACATCTCCAAGATTTTAGTATAAAAAATTCCCAGTACAGGAATCTCTCTCTTTTCATCTCAACTTGTTCTCACTCATTCTCCTAGTCTAAATAAGATAAAAGAAAAAGAAAAGTGCCAATACTAATATCTTTTTTTTATTTTTCAAGTGGCTGATATATTAAGCTCTCAGGCTACAAAGTCATAACTATGAGGAAGGAAAATTAAAAATTAAAAAAAGAACCTAAAACCACAAATCTCAAAATGTTTTAGAATTTACATTAAGGTGATTCCACCATCTATTACATGTGTTTTCATCTTAATAGCTTAGAGCCGTTACAACTATGCCAAAGGTAGAAATACAAAGTTTTATTGAGAAGAAAAACAATATTCCACATACCCTAGAGTTTTTTTTAAATAACATTAGGCGTTTATTTCTATTATAAGTTTTTTTCTAGAAGATTATCATTTTGTGGTTAATACTTAACAGCTAAATTAATTTTCTTTAAAGTATCATAGAACTTACTTAACAACTTGTGGTAGGTGTAGTAAAAATATATATTTTAAATTAAGTGATATTCAAGACTTACCACCTCCTCCTCCAAGAAGACTTGCATTTGCTGTTTAAAACAAAACAAACAAAAATCATTAAATAATATATAAAACATGTAACATGCCAGATAGTTTAAGAAAAGGCTGATCATGTGTCTTATTAATATGCGCACACACTCACACTATGTACTTTCATTTAAACATAGCTTCTATTACTGTTTTACGATGGTATTAAAATTAAAATAATCCACCCTTTTATCTCTTAAAAAGACTATATTTATATGTACCCCATTCTAATAAAGTGAAGCACATGTTGTGATTTTATTTTCTGTTCAATATCTAAAATAACCTCTATGTTTTCTATTTTATCAAGTGGAGATAGAATATGTTATTTAGGCAATTCAATGATCTCAAAGAACAATGTAACATAAAAGAATAATGATAATTTTAAAAAATCATCATCAAATAAAGCTATCTTAAGACATTGTACAATAAGAACTCTTAAACATTAATATATTTATTACTTTTAGCATTAACTTATTATTTATAATCAATAGTTATTTAGCATTAACTATTTTATTTTATTGTTGTAAAACAATGTTTTGTCATTTCTTATCCAGTTATCCATTATTCTAGCATACATATTTATAGAACCCAAATAATAAGCAAAGTATAAGATAATTCCATTTGAATTTCTTTCAAGTGGTCAAATTTTCATTAAGTACCATTCCAGGTTTCTGCTAAAGTATTAAACAACTTTATGCCTACATTTATCTAGTCATTATAATAGCCATAAAACAAAAGTCAATACACACTGCACTGAGCTTTATTCCATAGAGTTCTTATGTATCATAGTCATTCTCATGGCATTATAAAAAAAGAAATTCTCCAGCAGTATATAAAAAAAAAAAAATATGTGGTATCCAAAGTCTCTTTGTGTAGAAACTTGAGCTACACAAGATTAAACAAATCATTTAGGAAAGAGGAGTGGGAGTCTTTAACTTGAACTTTACTGTGCTGTCTACACCATGCATTGTCATAATTAAGAGAAACAAATACCCAAATGTTATGGATTCCAACAATAAGTAATGGATTTTTTTATGAACAAATGCCTATATTCACAGTTCCTTGAGGTTAAATATGTGATGGCTTGTTAATTTTTACAACAATAAAGAGAATACCATAAAAATGCAATGACACCATATGCCTTTGAGTTCTTTTTAATATGTCAATATTAGAGCATCACACCTTATTCCATATGATCCCAAGGACAGGGCCATCTAATTGCTACTCTTGCCTTCCTCTTGGTACTTTTTCCACAACATGGACTAAATAGCAATGTCATTAATCAACCATAAACACACACAAACACACACACTTTTGATGTCATAAAATCTCTGCCAGTCTGTCAGTTCAGGTCCTCAAATCCATCTGACTTCACAGTGAGAGTGTAAAGTATTTATATAGACGGTAGCCAGGACTCAATGTCCAGCACTAAACTTTGTAGCTGTTGAAGGGGTAGCTTGCTACAGAGGCATGAGGAAAGATGTGAATTCTATTTTGGTTCTCATAACCCTGTTGAATGGCAAAATTTTCATGATCAACCCATATCTCTTGGCTAATTCAAATATCTTCTAAAATCTTAGCTACATGCATTTATAAAACCACATGGCTGCTGATTGTTTATTTCTATATTTCACTGGAAACTACTTCTCTATCTTTAGGTTTCTCAGTTCCCTGAAATTCTGTTTTCCTCCAACGTTCATATATTCATTCATAAAGAAAAAGGTATTTCCAAGAATAAACAACAATAATACATAGTAGCTTTTCACTCAAATTATCATGCCCAGGAGCACAATAACACAAGACAGCCTACTCTCACCCAATGCTTTGCTGAATAAAGGTAGAGGTTGCCTGTGCTGAGAACATAGCACAAAGTCCATATGTTTAACTAGGCACTTATCCAATAATTGTGAGGATGTGTGGGTGGGTGAGTAGCATAGGTGTAAGAACTGGAATCCCACTCCTAAGTGAACCATCATGTCCATTTATGTCAGACGTCTGTTCATGTCTAGAAAAGCATATCTGGTTACATTTTAACATCAACATAGAACTACTATGCAAAACTATGGCATTCTACTAGTGTATCATCACTTTTAAAATAATTTTCTGTGCATTACTCTTCATGTAATAGAATCTTAATCAAGGCTGCTAAAACATATTCACAAATATATGTGTGTATACACACACACACGCATTCAAAGCAATTCTAATAATTATAATTTTGGTAACGATTTTTCTAAATAATTCATAAAACTTAAGCCTATTTTATCATTTCCACTCTCAAAGTTTTTAAATAAAATGTATCTTAGCAAAAATATCAAATAATTTTCTTCATTGTAAAGTGGCTTAAGTGAAGGAAATAAAAGTAAACCTTTATCATGGCTTCAAATATTACTTTACCTTCACAAAAGACCTTATAAATAACTGATGCTTAGCATTTATTGGTCAGGTAGATTAAAACTTTTTTTTTCCATTTTAAAGAGTTAAAATGACTTTTGCATGTCTGAATAGTCATTTAATTTCTGCTTAATTATCTTTAATAAATTGAGGTACATCCCGATTACATAGGAAACCCTTAAAAACACGGAATAGTTTGGACTGCATCTAAGAAGCACTCAATACATGTTTTCTAATAATGAGATAATTGGTAAGTTTAGTACAATTTCTTTTTGGTATGTGGTATTGATTTATTGACATCCATGTGAAGAGCAAACTGGTCCTTTTTCTTTCTAATAAAATCAAAGACCATTAAGAAACACTTCAAGTTTCTTTGGAAATATTAAATGACTAAGAATATATAAAATATGTTTCTATATTTCTGTCCCTATCAAGTACTTTGCTAGAAGGAATTCTGGACATGCCTCTTGTTATTCCTAAAGTTTCAGAAAGAAGGAAAAGGAGTAAAGAAACAAAGAAAACTTCAAGTTTATGAGTATGATACACCACTGCTTCTGAAATAATATTTTAAAATATGTTCTCTGAGCATGCTTACTAATCAACACTATTTTTACTCATATTTTCCTAATAAAATACCTTTTCTATTACCAGAGACGTAGAGGGAAAAAATTAAGCTACAGTAATTGCTTCAAAAATCGATTAAATGAGAAATTAAAATGAGTCATTACACGTTAATGAATATTGCACTTTTTCATCCTCCTAAAATTACGACTCAAAGAGATGAACAGTTTCACTGTTTATGAAGTGGGAAAAAAAAAAAACCAACAACACTGAACATAAAATGGAAGAGAGGGTTACCTAATCTAATTTCAAAGTGGCAAGTATAAAGAATTTATTTGTAATATCCTAACCAAATGATTAATTTTTTAGAGTTTTTGCGAAATTACTTTCTTCTACTTGAACTCAGTTTTTTAAGAAAAACTTTAATGAAAATTTAATGAAAATTTTTAATAAAAATTACCAAATTTCTATAGATATATTCATTTTTAAATTATCAAAACCAAAGGAAAAAATGAAGACAATCTAGGAATCCTTTTCTTGGGATAATTAGCCTAAATGAAAAATGATCATAGTACCTACGAACAGTATGATCATTTCATGTGTTTCTCAGAACATAAATGGAATATTATACTGCTTTCTTTCAAAAAAAAAAATACCTTGAATGACTCTCTGTGTGTATATATGTCTGTGTATGCATGCATTTGTGTCTTTTCACAAATATAATGATAAATTGTGGATCAGATCATGAAAAATAAAATTACTATATAAGTAATTTTCCATTACCTTAAGTTCCTAAATGCAATGTGTGCCATAACATTATTAGAAATATAAGACAAAGCTATACTTTATCAAACATCCTAAATGACTTTTTCTCCTAATATCTCAAAATCCTTCTTTTAGCATAATAGAAAGAATACTGACCTGAGACCCAGGTAACCTGCTTTAATTTGCCTTAACTTCTAAATATCTCAGTGATTTGGGCATCATAGTCAACTACTTTATTTATCTTCTTCCATCAGGAAATTTAGAACCAATCAGGGATGGCAAACAAATTTCAAACAATTCTAATTCACTAATTAGAAAAGACTGTACCTCTTGATTTGAGAAAGATTTTGAAGCTAAATCTAGGCTTAGTTGGAGAGAGGACTATGATTGTTTAATAATGTTGATGACAGAGTGGGATAGGGAGAACTGAAATGGCAGCAGACATGCCATGTATTGGGGATCTCTGCATCAGATAACTTCTCTTAGTTTTGACAGTTCTCTTAGATTTGAAAGTTTTGGATGCATTAAACTGTTACTCAGTAACATTTAAAAAACAAAAACAAAAACTGCTAACCTAACATGTGCCAGCCTTATACTTTAAGCATACTTAACAGTTCCTGCAGTTTGTGAGTCTGAAATACAGTAGCTACTGTTTATCCACAGGAGACACATTCCAAGACCTCCAGGGGATCCCTGAAACCACAGATAGTACTGAAACCTGTGTATACTATGTTTTTTTTTCCTTTTCCAATGTACATCTATGATAAAGTTTAATTTATAAAATGGACACCGTAAGAGATTAAGAATAACAATAATAAAACAATTATAAAAATGTATTGTAATAAATATTATGTGAATGTGCTCTCTGACTCTGAGTATCTTGTGCTATACTCACCCTTCTTTTTCTGATGACGTGAAATGATCAAATGCCTACATGATGAGATAAAGTGAAGTGAATGATGTAGGCATCATGACATAATGTTAGGCTACTACAGACTTTCTGAAGATAGGTCAGAAGGAGGATCAGTTGCTTCCAGATGGTGGTTGAACATGAGTAACTGAAACCACAGAGTGTGAAACACAGATGAGGAGGGACTACTGTAATCCAGTCTGTGAAATAATCCAGAATTGAGAGAGGTAATTTATGTTGACTGTGAGCCAAATTTGCCTGGTAAGTGTTTGTAGCAAGTTTTTATTCTTCTTGCCAAGTAATTTCCTATTACCTCTATAGTAATTATTTGTTTTCCACTCCATTTCTAGCCCCACCCAAGACTATCTGTCA